ACGCGATAGCGTATAAGAAACTGGAAAGGGTCATCAGGGGTTTTGCTCTCCGCGTTCGCGAGGGAGATAACGCGTTCGCGAAGATTGCTGGTGACTGTGAGTCGTATTCGCGACTGAGATCACGCGTTCGCGAAGAGATTTTTGGCAGCTTATATTTTTGTGCTTCGCGATCGGGAAGCGTGTTCCGCGATAGCGAAGAGGAAGACGTGGGTAGACTTATATTTAATCTATTTCGAGGGCTTTTGTTATTTTATCGATTTTTGAGCTAGATAGCTCGGTTTTGGGCAATTTTGGAGGGAATTTTCACGTGTTGGGTTGGGGTAAGAGTTCTTGACTCGGATTTGGTTATATTTCATGATTCCATCTTTTTTTTATCATTTAATTAGTGATTTGAATTGGAGAAATTGAGGGTTTTTGAAAAAACTTTCCAAAATGTAAAATGATGATTTGAAGGCCGATCTAATATCGGAATTGAATAATTTTGGTATAGTTTGACGCGTATCAGAATGGGTGTTCGAATTTTGTGAGTTGTGTCGGGTTTCGAGGTGCGGGCCCTAGGTTGACTTTTTGATTTTCATTAAAAATCGAAGCTTTATTATCAGAAATTGTTTCCTGTGATTTTTATTTATGATATTAAGTTATTTCGGCTAGATTCGAGCCATCCGAAGGTTGTTTCACACAAGAAAGTCATTTTAGATTATTGAATTTGCTTCTTTGAGATAAGTAACTTGCCTGACTTTGTGTGGGGGAACTACTCCTTAATATTTGGATTTATTATGTTATTTGAATTATGTTAAAGATGTGTACGCGAGGTGACGAGTGCGTACTCGGGCTTATATGTGGAAATTGACCGGTTTAGATGCTTAGGCTTCTTTCATGTGTTTTATTTGAAATTGTTAGTGCAGGTTGTATCTCTTATTTGTCATGTTTACTCTTATATACTTTATTTGAAGTTGTTAGCACATGTCATATCCTTTACTTGTCAAGTTTACTCTTATATGCTTTATTTGAAGTTGTTACCTCTTTTATTATAATGTGACCTCCTTAATTATTGAGTTATTCTTAATTGAATTAGTTGTTACATGATATCCTTTCGTTGTCGGATTATTCTCATGCATTTAGACGTAGTTGCTAGTCATACCTTCTCATTCATTGTTAGCTTATTTCACACACTAGAATTCAAAGTTTTCATTTCATGAAAATACCTTCATTATTGAGTTTGCTATTAATTGAAGTTGAATTGACAGTCATTAATCTGTTTTAGTTGATGTTATTGTTTAATGGGGTATTGTTCATTGTTGAGTTACTTTCCCCGTTCATATTGTTGTTATTGATATTTTGTACACATCGTGTTTGAGCCGTGGGCTATGTGATGTGGTGATATTGGTATTGCTATTGTTAAGAGGTTGTGGCCTATGGGCACTTGTGGTACGAGTCGATATGTCGTGTTGTTGTGATGTTAGCACATGTGAATTTGTTGTGTGGATTGATTGTTGTTATGTGGAGCATAAGGGTGGCATCTTACTGTTAATGATTGTGCGGATCGATACGGGTAGCAATTGTATAAATGTCAGGGTGGAATGATATGGGTGGCTATCGGAATGATACGGGTGGCTATCAGAGTGATATGGGTGTCTATTATGTTAAATATCTGGGCGGAGCTATAAGGGAGGCTATTATGATGTTATCTGTACGGAGAGATAAGGGTAAATATGTCAGGGATGATATGTGATGGCCTGGGGGGATTATGTTGATGATATTCGTGTGATGGTGTGATTTTCCTTGTGTATGCCATGCACCTTACGTGACTTGTTGTGTTGCTTTTAATGAGCTACTCGATGTCCTTGATATTACTTATTGACTTGGACTGTGATAGTACACTCACACAAGCATACACCGTAGCATGCCACTTATGCCAATTCAGGAGTATAAAACTTGACATTCATTGATCATGCCCATGTATTCTTGTATTATCTACTTCCATTGTGATACTGAGCATGTGTCCATACAGGGCGGATTATGATATCGAGCATGTGACAACGTCGGGCGGATTGTGATTATGAGCCTGTGACCATAGCAGGCGGATTGAGATATTGGCACGTGAGTTGTCCATGCGGTGGTGATTGAAAATACGGGCACGAGGTGTCGTGAGCGTATGATTCGTAATTTGGCACTCGTGACTTGTGATTATTAGATGAGATATCTCGGAGTAATTTCGTTGTGAGACTTGTGTTAGAATGGCTTAACTAATTGGTTGTTATTTGTTTTTCTTATTTTGTTTCACTGGTACTTTAACAATATTCTTATTACTTTACTGTTTATATCACATGTTGATTCTTGCTTTCATTATTAGCTTTATACTTCTATACTGCACAGGTTATTTTGACTAGTAGGTGTCTTGACTTGTACCTCGTCACTACTCCACCGAAGTTAGTCTTGATACTTACTGGGTACCGACCGTGGTGTATTCATACTACACTTCTGTATATTTTTGTGCAGATCTAGGTATTGGAGATATCGGACTTAGGCAGAGTTAGGTTCTTGATCACGAGGATTCAAGGTAGAGCTTATTGGACTCAGTTTGTTATCCGAACAGTATTATATTTCGATTTTGAGATATTTTCATGTATTCCTCTAGAGTTCGTGACTCTGTATTACCTAGTCTTGGGAGGTTGTTGTGATTATTGCCGCATAGAATTATTCCACCTTTATTTCGGGCTTTATATTAAACTTTATTTTAAAATATCATTGTTAACTGGCTTAATTTTTGTAAGTAATCGGCTTACCTAGTCTTTGAGACTAGGTGCCATCATGATGCCTAAAGCGGGATTTTTGGGTCGTGACATGTGCGAATTGAGTTTGTTGGCTCTTTGTTCAACCATTCCTTTGCTTCCCGAATGGAGAAAAGGGAAACAAGGTCAGTCTCACATAGTCCTTGGAGACGTTCGAATAGTTGTATGTATGCGTAATCTCCAAAAAAAATATGTATGTGCCTTTGCGAATCTTCACCCGACAAACCTACAAATTGCCTTGTGGATTGAATTAGCTGCACCGTGTACTATTTTAGCTCGAGGTGACCAGTCATGTCAGGCATCACGATAGCCTGAGTCATGTTTGCGACACTAGGCCTTGAGGCTTTAATCACCGGTCTCTCATTATTCTCTACCATCTCGATTGATTGTGGTTGGACTACGATGCCGAACTCTGCAGTTCTTGCTCTTGCTTCCGCCTCCCTCCTTAACTTGTGAAAAAGTCTTTCTGGTTCCGGATCAGGAGGAGGAAGATTGTTTAAACTGTTACTTCTTCTTAGCATTCTAGATGAACAACTGTAGAGTCAGAAACAGTAAAACAAGTTAAAACTCTAACAAAAACAAATAAAAACTTATTTCAGACAAATAGCTAATTTCTAAATCCCAGAAAATGGAGCCAAAAAACTTGTTGGGTCCAAATGCACACGCAAGTATACGCGATCGAAAAGTAATAAAGTGATGAGAAAGTATTATCCCGCGAGGATTTATGATTAACTCTCGTCCAATCTAAACTACTTATAAGTTTATTGCTCAAGTGGTTGTGAAGAAGATTATTGTGATTTTTACTACGAAATTACTAAACAATCAAGAATGCAAGGATGCAAAGCAAATACGCAAACACTTAGAAAGAATTCAATGAGATGAAAATATTTCGGGGTTACGAGATTAATGTCTCTCCTATTGCGTTTTTCCGGTTGATTTAATTACTTGATTTATCTAATTTGTTGGTTAATATGGTTTATTATGCTCGCCAAGTTCTTTCAGCGCTTTGCTCGTCTATTCAAGCCAACCTAATACTATATGTCTATAGAATTATAATTAACAAGAATGCATGTATATTTCCTGCGAAAATAACCAAGTAAGGCAACTAGAATATGTCTATCCTAATCGTGAATCTATTCTCCGATGCCTAGATTCAATAACTTACTCTAGTCAATCTTATATGCAATCTATAGTTCCCACTTTCGAGTTCAACTATAAATTCGTAAATAGTATTCTACTGTTAACTACGCAATAGAATAATTAAGTGCAAGATTGAATGAACAAATTAATATGATAATTCAAGCAAAATAATCAACTGTAAAACATCAATAGTCAAATACAACTCATAACCCCAGAATAATGAGGTTCTTAACCACGCATGTTCATAACAACAATCAAAGTATTGTTTTTAAACATAGAAGCTATGAATACTATATGAAAGATGGAAGAATCGATGAATTTCGTGCTCCGTTTGTGTTTCTATGCCTTTGCCGCCTTCAAGATTGACCAACCCTTCACTAATCACATTTAAGTGATATTTATAGGCTAGGGTCGGAGTCCCCAAATCCAAAATCAAGTGGGAAACATTTAATGCACGAACTAGGAAAGGTCCAGGCCCCAGAGCTCGTGAGGCCTGGCTTGTAGCGCGCCCCAGAGCTCGCGAGGCCTGTTCTAACGCGCGGTCTAGCTCGCCTGGAGCCAGCGTCGCATGGCCTGGCGCCTGGTTCCAGGACTTGTCCGATTTTTGCCTTTCCGTGTTCTTTTTGTGTATTTTTGACATCCTTGCATGCAATCTTCACTCATTTTCATCTTTCAACGATCCTACACATAAAAACGACACAATTAAGCTCAAACGTCGCACATATTATTATTAAAACACCAAAATGTAAGGCAAGTAATACACTACAAATATACATTTATAGCCAATTATCAAGAGAGGAAAAAGAAAATATAGTAAAAAGTGTATTGATGTAGAGGGATTCCTTAATTAATGGAGTTACCCAAGTGAAGCTGCTAAAAATATTTTAAAAAATTGTTATTTTTGGAATAAACAAAGATTACTACTTATTTATGAGAATAGTTTTTAGAAAGGGAGAACCATGTAAAAAAATCCCCATATTAGATTTTGGCTCTTGTAAAGTACGGTTAGACAAGTATATCTTTGGTCCATCAGAAATAGTAACTATTGAAGACAGAATTAGCAAATCATACTCAAAACTCAGAATAGTCATTCTTGGATCGATATTTTAAGGAAGATACACGTGAAACAGAAAATGAAGAAACAAAGCCCTCTCACAAGCACATTAATTTTCATAACTTTATTACATTAGTTGAAAAAGAACATAAATTTTCTAGTCTAAGATCACTCTGCAATATTCTGCACACTCCCCATCACGAACCAACACAATCTGCTTAGCAACACTTTTTGTCCTGTAATGCAACAATAGCTTATTACAATTTATAATATGTTTAGAAACAAAGAAATGATAAGGGAAAACATAAGTTTCATCAAATGTCAATTACCGATAAATATTGATCTGATTTTCTCACAAGAAGTTCAAGTAAACCACAACAGTTCATCCATGAAGTCTTAGTCTGAGGGGTCACTCCAACAAGTGACTGTAAAAGTGACAGTAAAAGGAAAAATTGTAAATTCATTAGTATGCCGAATTTTATCAGGAAATAATACTAAGCTGTAGTTTCTACGCAACAGAAAACAACACCAAATGATAAGTGGTATTAAGCTTGAAAAAACCCATTTCCCCTTAAGTTTCTTCAGTTAGAGGCAGATAGAGCTCGGTTGCCGGATTAAATTGAACTTACTAAAACATAACAGATATTAAATTATGAATTCATTAATTTCAAGATTGCACTGAATTTAATGGTACGAAATTATATATTGAACCCATCAAAGATTAAATTTTGGATCTGACTTTATCTTCAATTTCAACTAGTTAGACGCAAAGGTGGATCCAGAATTCAAACTTGATAGGTTCGACCTTTAAGGTTCTTAGCATTGAATTTTTAAAATTATGAGTTCAGATCTACTATAATATTTATTGAAATTTTGTGAGTTTTCACAATATATTGAAATATTTAATGAACGCATTACCTGATTCTCAGTGCTTGTAGGAGTTTGCTCATGATCCCCATTATTCGGATAGATTTTTGGCTCTGGAACTTTGACATATTTCTCTGTGTCTGCTGCTGATGACTCTCCAACATGTCCATCTGAAGTAGGCAATGAATCAGTTTCCTCAGTTCCATTTGTCTGCTTCTTGTGTAGTAAAGAGGACCATGTCTCAATCTTGCCCTCTACTTTATTAACCAAGCCCTTTGCAGATTGTGTGAAGCCTTGCGCCAATGATACCACAGGGTTAACTACTGCTGATTCAATGGTAGCCTTGGTTTCATCAGAATTCAGCTTTTCCACCACCATTTTTTCTAGACTGTCCAATTCTTGTTTCAACAAGTCTGAACTCTGTTCGCCACCGGCGGCAGTAGCATCAGCAGGAGTCTCCTCGTTGGTGGTGGTTTCCAAATTCTGGCTTTCCTCTTGGTTGGAGAGTTTCTCAGATTCATCCATGTTCTAGCAGAAATCTTTCCCTAAATATTTCTCTTTGTTGGCTTATGATTTTAGTTCCCAAGAAAGTTGTGAACAAAGTGTCTTGATATAGGATCATGACTTAGTGTAGACGCAGATATTACTAAAATACAAAATTAGTAATAATAGTATTAACTTTTTAGGTTTAGGTGGATGACCATAAACATGTTACTAACAGTGGGATTAGTTGTCGACAGAGTAATGAGCAAAACGTGATCATAAGTTAGTGATACACAGATTACCAAGATACAATAATAGTAGTAGGTAATAGTTGTTTAAAAAAAGGAGGATGAGAATGTCATGGAGGATCAAAATAAAAAAGATGAATGCCAAGTCAAAAAATGAGGTCTGCACGTCTAATTGTTTAAAGGTTAAATTAGTGCTGGTCGGAGAAACGCGGTCGTGGTCGTCTTGGGGCCAGTCTGGCTATTTAGAGGCGAAAAGTATATGTTAATGATGGATCAATGAGGATTCATATAGTCAGGGTTGAGGCAAATAATAATTATTGTTGTATGTAGGCCTAAATGACAACCCGGAGATGGGAGACGGCCTGGGCTGTAACAGCTAGCAGTAGGATAATCCAGCCCTGCACACTGGCAAATCTTTCACTTGATCTGCTCTGCATTCCGGAAGCACAAACTAATTACACCAAAGCAAGAGCAGCAGTTGCCTAATCATTGTTATCATGCACATCATGTCAACAGCGTCATTCCTAAGACCAAGGATAATGCAAAATTTTAATGCTTCAAGAGCATCTTAATTGCAGCATCCTCGTCACAATTCACAAACATCAAGTGTTCTCTTTATTTGTAACCAAAAAATTCCTAAGGGCCAACTGGAGCAGTTCGTTAATCAAAGCCCTAGGGGCAAGCACCAAGTTATATGTTGCTCAACTGATTAAGCCTCACTGCAAGCTATTTGGACAAAGAGAAAAAGGTACCAACTGGATTCAAACACTACTTTGTAACGGAAGTTCCTTTCTACTTTAGAGGTCCTTTCAAAACTATTCCAAGCAGGTCATTCAGAAATGCAGGATGCAAAATAGGCTCCAGAATGCAAGTCACAAATGCCTACCAGGGTGTTTATACCAGGCCAATTCAATGTAGGGCAAATTATAGGCCACCCACTTTTGAGTTGAAACCAGATGTAAAGATTTGATCGTAAAGGGAAAAAAAAGGATCATTGCACATGAGAGCGACCTACAGATCGTGAATACCAATTCATTGACTTTTGCTTGCCAAAACAACTATCTACATACAAAGAATGCAAAGCTATCTAGGTCGGCAATATATAAAATAAAATTAGCCCAGAGAAATCGAGTTCAATAGATGCAGTCAGACATGGTTTTGGAATCGGAATTAGATGCCTTCGTTCACCTTCAATTGGTAACCAATATGAAGAAGGATCTTTTGAGCAACTGATACAACAACAACAACAACAACAACAACAACAACAACAACAACAACGACCACGACCACGACCCTATGTATTCCCACAAGTGGGGTTTGGGCAGGGTGAGATGTACGTAGCCTTACCCTTACCCTGGACGGGCAGAGAGGCTGTTTCTGATAGACCCTCAGCTAAAGAAAAGATGAAAGAAGCACCGATAGCAAGTAATAACAGTACAAGATATTTAGAAAACTGAGACTAAGATAGCAAAATACAAGATGAAAGAAGCACTGATAACAAATAATACAATACAAGATATGTGGTAATAATACTGAAACAAGAAAGACAAGGGGAAACACTCGACTGCCTACTAACCTTCTACCCTAATTCTCAACCTCCACACCCTCCTATCAAGGGTCATGTTCTCGGTTAGCTCAGTGCTTAAGAAAATACGTGCACAGAGAGAAGTTTCTGTCATTAAAAGAAAGAGATGGCATAAGAAAATGCAGAAAAGGTTATTTTGTCTGAGAATCATGTAGAGAATTCGTATGAGATTGACGACTGTTGGTCTACTGCTATTGTATATGGGATGCTCCCCTTCTACATCAATGAAATATTATCTTACAAGAAGATGTATAGAAATATGTTTCAATTACTAAGAGAAGCATAATATTCATGAATCATGATCACAAATTAAGATCGAAACAGAGAGAAAGGGTTAATGAAGCATCCACAAAGAGAAAAAGACATCAATATCTAAATGATATTTCTAGGTCTTTAGTATACTGCTTGTGTACGGGGATTTCCCCAACATATCAAAAATGATTCTATGATGATTTGGGAACTACTAAATGGATTAGATACAGACGTTATTTCATCGATTTCTCAAACTTACCAACCCTAATGTTGTCAATACTTCATAGCCCACACTTTACCTACATTTAGCAAAGCAAACCCAGCATCGCTAAACTTGTCAAGGCAGTACCACGAGCAGACATTTTTAATCCTATTTCTGCAGTTAATCATAACATGGCAGCATTATTCACAAAGACCTATATTCTCTAGCACTCCCATGTTTGCTCCATATAGAACTACTATGCCTCAAATCCATGTTTGCTCCGTGTGGAGGAAAATAATACAATAATAAAATGTTAAAATCGGACAAAAAATTCATGCTAATAATGTATAAGTACATCACTAGTTATTTAACATTTCACCAGGCAGGTCAAATGTCAACTTCCAACAACCGCTCGAAATTAAATAGCATCCTCTTACAAGAACCAATATAGAGTAGAATCTCCCTCTTTGCTATATAAAGTGACATTTTTAACAGCATATGCTGAAGGGGGGACAATCTGTCTGCTACATTACTCAACCGCTAAAGGTTGTAAAACTACTAACAAGCTAGTTGCAAAAAACAGTCAAAATGGATTACAGCTCTTCATCCCTGAATATGAAATTGAAAGTCATTATAAATATCAAATTCAATATTGACATGATACTCGCATCAAGAAAGACAATTAGAACACAGAAAAGCATGCCCCGATTCTAAACATCATTAAAGACTAGAAGTGAAAAAGATTAGAGCTTTAAATAAAATAACATATCTTTGATTAACATAGAAGAGACAGCTCCTCACAGCAGGTCGGTATTTGAACTACGGATTCCTTCAAAATCAAAGTTGATAACAAAATAAATACCAAAAGTAAAACAGGAGACCCAAGAAAGAGTCTGAGGGCAATGCCTGCTGAAGACTTCAGGATAGAAGGAATCAGCTGAAGCTTAGGTGATGCCCTGTTGAATACTCCAGGTTAGTAGGAGTGTGGTATCAGAAAAACTCCTAATTGATTATTCTTATGCTCTTATCTTGCTTCTCTTACTCTTTGCCGGCCCATCTTTCAGTTTTTTCCCAACCTCACTAGTCTTCTTATTCTTCTTTCCATCTTTCAAAGACAATTTACTCTTCTTCTGTTTCTCAGCACTTATCAACTTCTTGGCCTTCTTCTCTCCATTCAACTCACTCAGAACATCACCACGCTTCTCAGCATTTTTCAACTTTTTGGCTTTCTTCTCAGCATCCTTCTCAGTTTTCCTCTTCTTTTCTTTCTCAACTCCATCATCCTCGATATCTTCATCACTGTTGTCCTCTTCAGCATCATTGCCAACATTTTCTGCGATATTACCAACATCATCATTATCATCATCATCATCACTCTCCAATTCATCTACACCAGTGTCAAAGTCCATATACCTAACTTCATGAATCCTCCCTTTATTCTTCTTCCCCTTCTTATTCCCTGACCCCTGATCAGCTTTCTTTTCACTCTCCTTAACCTCAACCAAACCACCACTCACTTCTTCTTCGGCTTGTTTCTCCTTAAACCCCTCAATCTTGAGCTTGATATCAGGCAAAGCTTGATACAAAGGCAATGCAAGAGAATCAGAAAGCCTCAAGTGCAAGCTCCTCACACCGTCCCATTTCTTGGGAACCACCTGAACAACACCCTTTATTGCTTCCAACACATTTTCCACAATCTGCTCACTCTCCATTGAACCCTTACCAACCCTCATCACACAACAACTCCCAGTCCTCAAGTAAAACAACCCGGACCCACAAGCCCTCTCCACTTGCTCCTTCCAATTCTTGTGTGTCAAATCCAATGGCAAAGGCAGCTTCTTTTTCTTGAAAAATTGCTTCCCTAAAAGATTAGGAAGCAAATGGACAATCCTCCTATCGACCAAGAAAAGGTCGTAAGAATCACAAAGCTTTCTTTTTGCCTCAAAGGGTTTGTAGTTAGTTTTAAGCTTCGAGAGCTTAATGACTTTACTGATGGGTATGTTTTGGGATTTGATGATCTTTTTCGCGGCGTCCGAAGTGAGTTTGGAATTGGGTCTGTCGTCGATGATGAGGCAGAGCTCGGAGGAGGAAGGATCGTGAATAGGGTTAGGGAAAGGGATTCTGAAAGCGTTGGTACGAGGCTTTGGTGGGATTTTCTTGAGAGTGAGGTTGAGGTAGATGAAGTCGTCTTGTGGGAGCAGTTGGGCTTTCTGGATTTTGGACTGGGATTCTTTCCATTTGAGGAGGGCGCTCACTGCCTTCTCTATGGTGGCACGGCCGACCTTGGCGGCGGAGGGTGGTGGAAACTCCATTGGGGTTTTCGGGGTGAGGATGAAGAGGACTGGAGAGGAGACGATGCTGGGTTTAGGGTTTTTAGGTCAAGCAGACTCGGTGGGTTTCGTTTAAAGACTATGTATATTATTCTTTTTAAAAATAAAAACTTTTGCAAATTATAATATCGCTTCACAAGTGGAAGTAAAAGTTTTTTTTATCCCCACCCTACCCAAACCCCCTTCTTTTTTTTTTTCCTCCATCATAGAATAAGTTAGACTGTTAGAGTAAACCAAGCTTCCCTGATGTAGAAGAACTACTGAAAATGTAAATCAAACGTTAGACTACTTAATTCAAAATGATCTAAAATTGACCGAAAATGGTAGTGTAAGTTCTAAAGTTAACCAAAAATAATAGCATAAATTCTCCTTTTCTTATGATTCAGAAGCGCATAAATTATATTTATAAAAATTTAAAATAAGAATAAAAAATTAACAGTAGCCTCAAAAGGGGCTATTTGTACACTTCAGGCTACATTGAAAACACACGGACGGAGTGCACAAATAGCCTATTTTAAGGGGACTATTAAAGACATTCAGTTCTTGAAAACTATTTAAAGTTTGACTAAATAATTTAATAATTTGTGTGAACACGGTATACGGTTGCTAATTTAGGGCAATTTCAGCTATAATTTGTTCCTTTGATACTGTAGTTCTTTTTTTCAAGTGAAATTTTCTTTTTTTACTTCTGTTTTCTTTAGAAGTTCTGTTAGGTTTGGCCTTAAGAAAATTTTACTTCAATAAGGTTATTTTCATCATAAAGTTCTTAATTTATATGGTTTACAGAATCCTACAATTAAAATAGTAACGTAATGACCTTGTTATTAAATTTGTCAAATGGCAACGAGACTCTACGTTTTTTTTTAGACATTCTATAAACAAGCATAGAATCTATATCTATATATCTATATATAAATATAAAGGAGGGTCGTTGGCAAGGTGATGTGGCACCTTTTTATATTCAACAATTATATTTATCTTTTATCTCCTATTTTTGACATTTTTACCTTCTTCCTTTTCATTCATTTATTGCATTTAAAAAAACGGTATTAAAGAAGAAACAACTGTTGCTTCAAAAGTTGCTTCGGTTCTTTTACTGGACATGCCAATAGTTGCCTCAAATCAAAGCTCAAGATAAAATAGACGTCCCGTCCTCAAATCTCTCCTCTACGCCGGACAAAACTGTACTCCACCCAAAATATAAGACAAGACAAAATCAACAAGGAAAATTCGGAGCCATTGGTGGTGGACTTCCAATTCTGATTCGGTGTCCAAATCAGCGACCACCAATGTTATTGCTTCGAAGGACTCAAACGCTTCATGAATAAGAGATTTTCTTGCTTCCTATACCTTAATTTATATTCTTACACTATTGTATACGGTCAAAACCGATTTCGATTTTCGTATGATTAGTCAAGATTGGAACATAATGAACTGAAAGTCATTTTCATAATATCGAGATGAGATCTGAATCCATGTTATCAAGCTCAAATTTTTGGGATCGATCAAATACCGAGCTCGAAGTCATTACCGAGCTCGGGTCCAAATCGAACTATGAAGTGAAGCGGTGTCATCGAGCTTAAGAGCCAGAGACCGATCAATATCAAGCCCGATTCGATACCGAGCCCCGAGTCAATATCGAGCTCGAGTCAATATCGAGCTCGAGTTAATATCGAGCTCTAAATCTGGAAATCGACCAATACCAAATCCGACCAAGATCGAGCCAAGAGACAAGAGTCGTTACAGCCGCACTAAGGGAGAGAATCTCTGTGGGAATTAGGGAAAAGCTAATCTATCATAGGATCCCCACTATGTATTTTTAATTATATTTAAAGTAGGATTCCTCCACTATAAGAAGGATAGCTATTATTTTTGTAAAGACATCCAACATTAAGGCATTCATACACTCTCATATTATTGATATTCACAGAGAAAAACATATTGATATTCATATAGAGATTATCCTTTTGTGGGTTTTGTATATTGATTCGTCTTGCTGGTTCATAAACTGTTTTTCACTCAGTTTGGTTTGTATTTCATTCTCCATACAGTCAATACTCAATATATTTCTACTTACGTTCTGATTTGTGCCAAGTTATACCATGTATCCTTAGAACTACGTACAAATTCAACTATATCCGTTTTTCGAGTAAACAGTTTGGCGCCCACCTTGGGGCTAAGGATAACAGTGGTTATTTGGTACGAATCTCTGCAAAACACACTATTTTACACTTGCTCTTGAAAATATCTTTGATTTCATGTTGAAAACGACGAATTCTCAATTAATGGCCTTACCCATCGATAACGAAGTTGGCCTTCAAGATGAGAACAACAACTTAACCCCCGAGGGTGGAAGGCCACTCGTCGATCCCGTTGGAGCTCGGGTCGAAGAACCAATAGACGTTAATTCACATGCGGCCATCTAGGCGAACCAACATTCTGACCCTGAAAATAGCATTCATGGTGGAACTCGGTCTGCAGCTCGAAATACCCAAAACGCTGAGGAAAACAGAATCAGCTTGCGTATGATTTTCGAGATGTTGCAAACTCAACAAGTAGAAATATCCCAGTTGCAAAGCCAAACCCAAACACCGATCAGACTCGAGCCCAGTCCACCCCAAGAAGTCACCCACAAAACTGGGCCAGCTATAGTAAGGTCAAATGAGCAAGAATCGGGGACTAATCCCGAAATTGTTAAGATGTTCGAAGAACTGACAAAACGAATATAGTCAGGAGAAAGGAGGATCGAAGAAAACGACAAAAAAATGGAAACGTATAACTCCAGGGTTGATCAGATCCCAGGGGCACCGCCGATATTGAAGGGTTTAGATTCCAAATAAATTGTACAAAAGCCTTTCCCCCCGAGCGCGGCTCCTAAACCAATCCCAAAGAAGTTTCACATACCCGAAATTCCTAAATATAATGGAACGACCGACCCCAACGAGCATGTCACTTCTTACACATGTGCCATTAAAGGGAACGATCTAAAGGACGATGAGATCGAATCTGTATTATTGAAAAAATTCGGTGAAACCCTTTCAAATAGAGCAATGATATGGTATCATAATTTACCGTCTAACTCTATCGATTCTTTTGCTATGCTTGTAGATTCTTTCGTAAAAGCACACGCCGGAGCCATAAAGGTCGAGACCAGGAAGTCCGACCTTTTCAAGGTAAGGCGGAAGGACAACAAGATGCTAAGAGAGTTCGTATCTCGTCTCCAAACAGAACAAATGGATCTACCACCGGTCACTGACGATTGGGTTGTACAAGCTTTCACTCAAGGACTGAACGAGCAGAGCTCGATGGCTTCACGAAAGTTGAAGAGGAATTTGATCGAGTACCCGGCTATTACTTGGACCGATGTACAAAATCGATATCAATCGAAGATCAGAGTTGAAGACGACCAGTTGGGGTCTAGGTTTGTTATTAAAAGGGATATCGACCGAGAACTAAGGTCAAACAAGGATCGATATCGGTCGTATAACCGAGATCGTAGGGGTAGCGAACCTTCACGTAACCTCGTACAAGGCGAAAGGAGAAATGATCGAGGCCAAGGGTCTCGGGGACTGATAAACAGTAATGGGTTCGACAGGCATACCGGACCTAAGGAAGCACCACGGTTATTAGAATATAACTTCAGCATCGATGCATCCGCCATTGTGTAGGCTATCAGACGCATCAAAGATACTAAATGGCCTCGACCTCTGCAGACCGATCATGCCCAGAGGAATCCCAATCAAATGTGCGCATATCATGGCACTCATGGCCACAGAACGGAAGATTGCAGGCAACTGAGAGAGGAGGTAGCCCAGTTATTAAATAAAGGGCACCTTCGAGAATTTTTAAGTGACAGGGCCAAAAAGGATTTGAAAAACAGGGATTTCAGTAGACAAAACGAACAAGAAGATCCACAACACATCATCCACATGATCATGGGTGGGATCGATACCCCCTAGGGGCCGGTACTTAAACGCGCTAAGATGACGATTGTAAGAGAAAAGCGATCCCGGACTCAAGATTACACTCCTGAAGGAACCTTGTCCTTTAATAACGAAGACGCGGAAGGAATCATGCAACCACATAACGATGCAATGGTAATATCTGTACTTATGAATAAAACTTAAGTTAAACGTGTGTTAATTGATCCAGGTATTTCGACCAACATCATTCGATCGAGGGTCGTGGAGAAACTCGGTCTACAGGACCAGGTCGTGCCCGCAACCTTGGTACTAAACAGATTCAATATGGCATGTGAAACTACTAAGGGCGAAATAATCCTGCCGGTTAACGTGGCCGGGACCATCCAAGAAATTAAGTTCCACGTGATCGAAGGCGATATGAGATACAACGCCCTGTTCAGAAGACCGTGGATCCACAATATGAGGGTTGTACCCTCGACCCTCCACCAGGTTTTGAAGTTCCCAACATCGGAGGGAGTCAAAACGGTCTACGGGGAGCAACCGACCGCAAAAGAAATATTTGTCGTCGATGAAGTGATTCCGATATCATCATTATCATCAGCAAAAGGATCGGGTTCGAAGGAGGAACGTAATACCAAATAGCAATCACAAATGTCAGCTTCGACCCAATTAGAGAATCAGAAGATTGACGAAGATGATGAACATGGGGTCCCTCGATCCTTCGTGGTCCCCGATGATTCCGACGCTACCCAATCAATGGTCGAAGAACTGGAGCAAGTCATACTAATCGAATATCTGACCGAACGAAAGGTATACCTGGGCACGGGGTTAGATCCCGAGCTCAGGAGAAAGCTTATTCAATTTCTTATAGCTAACATAGACTGTTTTGCTTGGTCCCATCTTGACATGATAGAGATCCCACTGAGAATCACCACTCATAAGCTAAGCTTGGACCCAAAATTCCACCCGGTAAAACAAAAAAGAAGGCCCCAGTCTGAGGTCAAATATGCCTTCATCAAAGACGAGGTAACCAAACTTCTTAAAATAGGATCCATTCGG